CCCCAATAATCGCATCCCATGTTTTGTAACGTTAAATAGGATATGACTACACGTCTTTGCACCTCGAGATAGACCAGAAGCACACCCGCCATCACCAGCAAACACACAGTGCTAACCGTCCTGTATACCGTGCACAAGAATATCAGTGCGAGTCGTTGGCTTTGTAACAGTTTGCGACGGACAGCGCCTACAGTTGCTCTATAGGCCCTTCCAGTTCCCCCAGAGCACATAGAACCTAGGTAAGTAGCTCTGTATAAGATCTTTAGTGTATCAAATGATAGGCCCCATGTCGGAGTTGATATCCTTGTCAATGCATAGAAACTCTTTTTAGACTGTTTATTAACTGTTCTAATATGTTGAATAAATAAAAAGTTTATCTCTAAAACTAAACCTCAATAACAAACTGAGGTTTTATTTTCTACAATAACATTGTCAAATATAATGCGCGGCGGTGATATGAGGTTACCTTTAAAAGTAGCTGGAAGGTTTTGTTGAGTGTCAAAAGTAAAGTGATTATGTTCACCCCAATGAGATAAAGTGTGATGGCATATTTCCACCGGAAACAATTAGGGACGGGTTAATTTAATGAAAACTTTTTTGTGAAAATTTGCTAGTTCTTATTTTCTATTAGCGTCTGTAATATATTTATTGATAATGTGTTAATTAGCTAATAGGGAATGAGATATTAAGTTCAAACATCTATTGGCTAATAAGCCGTCATCAGCATACGTGTTCAGAGTACATCCAGATGGTATTGGTATCGCAAGAAATCGTCGAAGCCTCACAAGTCCATACTTATGAGGCTTCGACGCGCGCGGCTTCGGCGCTTCCAATGGGATGTCCTCAGGAATCAGTGCTAGGTCCATACCTAGCACTGATTCCTGAGGACATCCCATTGTAAGCGCATTCGGCACAGAATGATGACTAAGTCTTAATTTAGTTGTGCCTTATTAAAATACGAAGAGATAAGGAAATAAATATTTTTAAAAGCACCCTTGTGATTTTAATTTCAGCAATAGCATAGACCACCAGCCCTTGTCGAAGGTGAAATATCTAAGAAAATAACTACTCGTAACACGTATTGAAATTTTGACTTGGTGACAATTCTCCTAACCGATATAACCGTGTCAATTATTGATTTAACCAGAGTAAATCCAAATTGTCTATCATGAAATTTATGATGGTAAGCTAACGATTCTGAGAAATTCGGCTGAAGATGGTAAATCAAACATTAAGACAGTCGTGGTTCGATGGCCCACTGCTTGACCTGTCGGTGATGACCAGTGTCATTTTCCAGCCGATCGTCGGGACAAGTGACTTTAAAGATATTCTGTGATTTGTTCTATTCCTGTTGTATATACGCGTGCTTTCTTGTTGTTTATGACCTACTGCTGGAGAATCTGTATGGTGCAGGTGTTTCGGCGGAAACCATTTCCCTCCTTAAGTACTGGTACTCAAACCAGAGAAATCAAACGAGATGAGCCGGATGAATACCGGCTAGAATGCGGCATAAGATGGGGGGGGGGGGGGAGGGGTTTGAGCTCACAACTATTGTTCAACCTGTATGTCAACCAGCTTGTCGAGCGACTCAGCCGCACTCGTGTCCGATGCAATATTGACGGTACCTGTGTCAACAATATTAGCTATGCAGATGACATGGTGCTGCTTGTAAATTGGCGAAACATCGGCCGACAAATATACCTTTGGTGTACCTTGACGGCGTTGAACTAAAGCGGGTTGACAACTACCTGGGTCATATTCCGACCTTGACCTTAAGAGATGACGAGAACATAGGGCGTTGGCGGTGAGAAGCAACATGTTCGCTCGCAGGTTTGCTCGATGTACACATGAAGTTAAGATAACGCTTTTTAAAGCATTTTGCAAGTCCTTCAACTCGAGTAGCCTATGGGTAAGGTATACGCAGCGATCCTACGAAACCCTGCGTATTCAGTATAACATTGCTTTCAGAATCTTGTTGGGGCTGCCGCGACGCTGTAGCGCCTCCGAAATATTCAAGAACATTGAGTAAAAGCAGTTATAGGTAAATAATTTAATGTATTAATACTAACTTAATTACAAGCAAATTGTTACTAATACATTTACACTGTGGACTACATCACTATGGTTTAAAATAAATGATTATTTTTATATTATTATATTTCTTATTAATTTTGATGTTCTGTATGATTGATGGAAAAAAGTCCACTCCATTAAGAATGAAATAAATTTTCGGGATTTTATCCATTTATTAAAACTTGATTACTAGGAAAGCGGACATGCTTAAATGGATTCTATGTCTTTTCTTTTCTATGCTTAAAAATAGTACGGTATATTATTATTTTCAAAAAAAATAATATAAAGTCGTTTGCATATACCTTACAATTAGTTTATTATTGGCGCCATAACTTTCCTCATCCTTTATATAATTATCGCCTTCGGGAATTTTTCTTGAGTATGCTGATGTATTGCTCTAATTATTTTGAAAGGCACGGAATACAAAATACCAATTATCAGTACTTGCAGTTTAATTTGTTTATCAAACGATAACGTTTTCCAATTGACTGGTTAGATACTTATCCTGTATACTAATATTATAAAGCGCATAAGTATAATTTGAACATATATTTTTTGCATATTACCAGTTTATTGAGGACTGTTCTCTGGAGTCGAGGTGATGCTGAGCATTTGTAGAAAAAAGTAACTGTAAACATTCAAATATATTCAAATTATAATCAATTTTTTTATTCAAAAGAAATTAATTTTCGAATTAGGCAGTGAACTTCGTATGTGTAACATATGCAACACGGATAATCTTCATAGTAGTTACACATACGCCAATTGAATCATATTACTCGTCATAGTCGCAGAATAGTGTCGGACCTGACATTTATTGAACTTTACAGGGCAGCCGTTCCAAATAATTAAGGTTTTTTTTGTCAAAAATTTTAATTATAAATCTGTAATTATAAAAATTGTCATGCAAGTGAAAAATAGGGTTTGTTTTAAAAAGCAATAAAATTAATAACTAATAATTTTATAATTTCCTAGAAAAATCACATGCTTCATTTTACTTTGAGCGCTTATCAAACAAACACTGAATAATTTAAAATCTAAAAGATTTGCGACCGGCTCAATCCCTTGGCGTGACGTAGAGATGTAGCTTCGCTCTGCATTCGCTATCGTATATATCATGGAGAGATATCATCGGTCCACACGGCAAAATTTTCATCCTTACCACTTGGACAATTGGCGCTCCACCATTGTGCGCTTTTCAAGACACTTTTTGCCTCGCACCACTCTGTGGAACAAGTTATCGGCTGCGGTATTTTCGGACCGATACGACCTTCAAACCTTCAAAAAAAGAGCGTACTCCTACCTCAATGGCTTTCAACGCGCTTGTAACTCCTGAGTTGCAGGCATTGGCCAGGAGGCCACGAGGTGTATTTTAAATCTTATCTAAATAAAAATCGGATGTACAGTCAGGCAAACCAGGTGGACATTCTTTCAAATTCTACTTCTGTTTCCTATTTTTTTATACTATTCAGACGGTATTTGTATTTAATTTATTGTATTTAAACTTTAGTTTGAATTTGAGATATCTGTCTTGGCTGTGAAAAGTGTGCTGGCATTTATTTCTCTAAAACGAAATCCCAATGTTAAATGGAAATGTTGAGTATACGAATAGAATGAGGTGACGTAAAAGCAGTGCTGCAGTAGGTGTACGCCATCTATTTTTGAATAGGGAACACTGTTGTGCTATTAAAAGAGATATTTCAAGTGTTCTTTCGTTTAAATTTTTATTATTGTGGACGACGGTTTATATTTTTGCGTGTGGATTCTTTGTTTTATTAATAATGATCGTAAGTAAAGATTAAATAGATTTTATTGACATTGTCCTGATAGTTTAACACTGTTAATGTAGCTCTACGATTAATAATAATGCCTAAAAACTCAAGGAACATACAAACATGCTGTTTGTTGGTACATAAACAACAAATGGAATCAAAACCGGTTTCGATTACGGCAGAGTTAAACATTTAAAAAACTATGAAACTAGATTCGTTTAAACTTAAAACTGGTTTTATATTTTGGTTGGTTAATTCTTTCGCATTCGGTTAGAGCGCAAAATATCAGGTCATGTTTTATGACAATTGAGTTGAGAACTGTGGGCTTGACAGGTCATGTGACCCTTAATAAACAGATGTGTGGACCGACCCTGTAAGTTTAAAAAAATAAATGAGTTGAAATCACCAATAAATTACTTAGTTTCGGTTAAACCATGCATTATTATTTTTCACTGTGGAATGTAAATAATATAAAGTCCTCTGCGACCTTATTCTTGAGTGGTGTTTGTGTGTGTAAAGAAGTCGTCAACAGTATTTTTTTATTCTATAAACATTTCTATGTTTTTTATGCATGTTGTATATGTTTACAGTGTGACTAATTTTAAAACGAATATAAACACTAGTAAACGTACGGAGCGCTTAATGTTTGAACTCTAGAAATCAAAGGTCGCTGTCAAACAAAAATGACAATTATACAAGTAAGACTATATAAAATTCTTTTGAGTGCCCCAATCCTGCCAAGAGACCCATGATGATTAATTTTCTTATTTATTTGTCTGGTTTGTATCACTTGTTGTATTTTTAAAAAGCGACACGAAAGACGTTGTCTTCTCAGTGTTTAGAATTCGAAGTCGAAGTGCAAGTTGTTTTACGCAGTGTTTTAACATCCAAGTCCAAAGATTTTACAGCATACATAAAATAAGAAAAACTAGTCAAGTCGCTCTATCTGTTTCAGCATATTTGTAGGTGTGAAAGATTGTTAATTACATTTGAAGTTTATTTTTTACTTTCATACCCCATAATAAATATTCTTATGTTCAAGATTGTGTACTCAAGTTACATATTCTGTGAAATATTGAAATTATTATACATGTTACTCTTTTTTGATTTCAGTAAAGCGGTGATATAACTTTTGTTGTAAGAAGAAGTATTAACATGGCCAATAGTACTAATATTGAAGACAAAACAATAAAGGATATTCATGGAAAGTCATCGTGGACTCCATTTTTTCGACAGGTTTGTTTTATAATAGGTATCTGCTCCTTTTATCGTCATTTTTGTTTAGGTGATTGCGGCCAAACAAAATACTCTCTCAAAGACTAGAACATTTTTTTTCAATGAATTTATCTAGTACCTCCTACATTTTTACCCAATCATAATATAGGTATAAGTTATCTACGCAATATTCTACGCGTACCTTACGCGTAGAATATTTCTCTCCCAATTCAATTAGGGTTAATTAAAAGTTTGATTACTACTGACTGTCTGTAAGTAATAGTAATAGTCTGATTATAAGTTTTTATTTTAGTTGTTCGTAGTTAACGGAGTATGGACAATATACTTTGTGCTTGGCCTGTGTTACGGTGCCCCTAATGTTACCATTCCACAAATACGAAAAGAAGCTAACTCGACGGAGGCAGTTAGTGAAGACATGGCATCTTGGTTGAGTATGTAATTCTTTATTTATTCATTTTTTTTTTTTTTTGGATTAAAGTCAATTGATGATGTATACTTTCTTATATTTAATTAAAAGTCACTTATTAAAAAAAATGTTTTCTATTTTCGAAGTCGTAGTGTTGTTTTTCGTCGTACGTCGTAGTGTATATTTTTTACAATTTGATTAATTAACAACTGTTTGAATTTTATAAGAAATAGTATTTCTATATTCTGCATGTTTATAAACTACAAAGTTGAATGACACGTAGCTAACTAGATGTTCAGTAATTAGGCAATTCACAGTTAGAAAAGATGCTGGTGTAATTTTATGAGTAAATTTAGCAGACCGTGCACTGACTAAAGGTTTACCCTGGAGAACACAATGTAAGCTGGATGCGATGGTTTTCTACCTTTGTTATACTCCTTGTAAATTTTTATCTTTTATTCAAGAATTTTATGTATCGAATGTGAATATTAAGCGGGGGGGATGAGGTGTTTTGTCAGTTTTTAAAAATTTCTTGTTTATTGCAAGTATTTACTATATCCCTTACATAATTTAAACAAAGTAAAACTTATTTATTTTTGTTCATTACACAATTTAATACTCAAAATATTTTTTTTCCTTTCAGCATCTATCCACGGCTACAGCGCTTTGCCATGGATTATCATTTTACCAATACTTACTCGAACATTTGGAAGAAGATTACCTTTTCTGATCTTGTGTATAACTACAATTATAGCGTACGTAGTGTTTTATATGAGCACTTCTAATATCGTACTACTTATCAGTGAAATGATGCAAGGTATACTCGTAGCTAGTAATATGACAGTTTTAATTCTCGTTGTCACTGAATATTCGTCACCGCAATATCGTGGAGTATTTATGACAGTCAAATCTACTATCTTCTTCTGCGGATTGTGGGTTGCTAATGCCACAGGCACTTTTAGTCACTGGAAGAATATTGCCTTCATTGCTTTTGTTTTTACTTGTTATTCTTTAACAGCCTGTTTGTGGCCCGAATCACCCTCTTGGTTGGCAATGAAAGGACGTTTTGACGAGTGTGCGACATCGCACCGATGGTTGAAAGGATTTGACATAGATTCTGAAAATGAATTAGAAAATTTAATAAAATCACAACGGGAGTACTTAGAAACACGAACTACACAAAAAGTGGGGTTTCATGAGAGGTTTAAATTTATTTTGAGTACGTTGTCAACGAAAGCTTTTTACAAGCCTCTCTTGCTGTCTATGACAGTTATGCTGCTTTATAATTTTTCTGGTAAATTTGTTTGCAGTATGTATTCTGTTGAGTTAATAAAGAGAATAACGAATAGTGAACCTACTGCGTACATTGGAATGCTTATATTAGAGGCCGTCACAATATTTAGTATGCTAATCGGATGTGTTTTATCAAAGTATCTGAAACGAAGGACATTGTTGCTCACGTCTTCGTCGATTGGCATTGGGTTTCTTTTTATAACCTCTCTCTATTTGTATCTTATTAGTCTATCAGTGGTAATAGAAAATAAAGTGATATCATTATTACTCTTGACATTGTTTTCGATGACCTTCAGCTGTGGACCCATGATATTAGCATGTTCAGTTTACGGTGAACTCACACCTATTCGGTATAGGAGTTCATCTTTGCCAATCCTCGCTATATTTTCTGAAGTGTTGATGGCCACCGTTCTAAAGATTTCACCTAACATCTTCAAAGTATTTGGTTTACACGGCGCTTTTCTTTTTTATGGAATAACATCGTCTGTTTTTGCATTTTTACTATACAAATATTTACCAGAAAGTAAAGATAAAACTCTGCAAGAAATAGAAATTTACTTTATAGAAATTCAAAGACAAGAAAATATTCCAGAACAATTGAAAAATCAGAAAGACAGTTAAAACAGTTTTGATTTAGTTTTTAATATTAATGTAAATAAATAAAAGTAAGCAAAATCTAGCTACAATATACTATGTGAATGTGTACATACATGTGTACATACATATGTATGACTTTAAGTAAAAAGGACAAATAACTTTATAATAATAAATATCATAACTATAATTAAGTTATTCGTTCCGTATCTGTTCACTTTAGGGAAATAGTTTATTGTAATAGAAGCCTTAAAGTTGTAGGTGAAAAATACTAGTTTGCTAGATACTGGATATCGGATATTCTGCCTACCTTGAAGCCTGGTAGTCAGATATGCCGAGACAAATTACGTGGGTTGTTGAAGCTGAAAGAGATATAATGATGACTTTAATAGAATTTGTGATAATTGTTTAAAATTTGTTATTTACTAGCAGTTATCTGCAGTTTTACCTACTTTGACTAACATTACTGAACTCTAAAATGTCTTAATGTACATAACATTAGCCTATAACTTCCCTCAATAAATACTTTAGTCTAGACAAAATATTTAAGATTACAATTAGTTCCATAGACTAACGCGTTTAAGTTAACAAACCAGCCAATAAAAAAGTTTAACTAGAAAGTTTACACCTAGCTTGTTCAATCCGACTCAATCAATTTAAGTGAGCTTTCCTCCGATTGCTCAAAGGAAAGACCTCGTTTCAGCAACTGTTGTCAGACCAAAATGAACAGCGTATCGTAAATAGAATCGGAGAGATAGAGGAAGAAGCTATGAAAAATAAGTTAACAATGAGAAGTCAACGTTCAAATATAACTCGAACATAACATTTTTTTTCCTTTTTATTGTATATAGGCACAACTAACTAATGTATTTGTAAAGATTGATTAGTATAATTAGTTTATCTCAATTGATTAGTACGTCAATAATTTCCTTTATGTGCATGTTCAAAATATAAATGTTTATTGTATATATGTAGTAACAATTGACTGCACGGATGGCGTAGTGGTTTAAGCGGTCGCCACGCCGCTTCCTACTACGCCGAGTGTTGTGGGTTCAAACCCCACATGGGACGACACTTTGTGTGATCCACAAATTGTTGTTCTGAGTCTGGGTGTTCTTTGTGTCCGTTTCATGTATGTTTGTAAAGTCCCCCGCGACACAGGATTTATTCCTAATGCGGGAGTTCTTTTTTAATCAAAAAAAAAAAAAAAAATTCTGTATTCCTCAGATTCATGATACTACAGTCATGAATCTGAGTCAATGCCAAAAATATAGTCGATCTGTTCAGTGGACAATATCAATTACGTTGTCATTACTATGTACGCCTGTGTTATGATTGGGTTTTACATGTAAAATGTATGCTATGTCATTCAATTATTTTATTTTAAGCCTTAAGCCTTATTTATTCTTTAATAAAATGCAGTTACAATAATATAATATATATATTTATAATAGTGTTTTTGTTTATTGTATTTATATATTGTATTTTATTTGTATATCTACAATTAAATTTACAATATTTGATTTCCATTCAATTCAACTCTTCACTTGAATATAAATAAAATATATAAAAACAGTGTAAAAACAGTTGTTATTTTACACCGGTTATTTCGTATTTAATTTCATGAATGTATAGCATTATCTATATTTTTTTTCTTTATTAGGGACCTCCCTCCTTTTTTTTGTTTTTTCCGTGCGGAAATTCCCTCGGATAATACCTATCGGTGGCATGTCGGACTCAAACCGACTAAAACCGCACGCCGTCTCGGGTACTAATAGCCGGGGAACCAGGTATACCCTAGAAAGGAAGTCCCTGGTGCCCCGACATACCTCGGGCCATCTACAGACGAGTAGACGACCCCCCCCGTGTGGGAACCCCATGTTCCCTCTGCTCCCTGGAAGCGAGCGCGCTTCGCAACGCGCTCGCTGCCACCCTGCTTCTGCTAGGGTGACAGATGGCCTCACCTGTCACCCCCAGGCCTGCGCCTGAATCGCCTGCGGTACCTGGCCCGTTCCCGGGTCAGCGGGCCGGGAGAGTTCTAAACCTCTTTAGTTTTTACAGTGATGTAAACGTCTATAACTTTTGTTGTATTTCTTATATCTCTGTTTGTTCTTTTATGTTTTAGTTTCAGAGCGCTCCGTCCCATGGCTCTTTGGGTTGTTACTATCTGGTTTCTTGTTAATTTGTTAAAAATCCATCTTTGCCATGCATAAGAGAGAGATGGTAGAACATAAGAGTCTAGAACTTTTTTCTTCAGTCTCACTGGAAGATTTGACTCGAGGACTTCTTTTAGGCTCCAAAGCCTATTCCAGGCTATGTTTCCTCGTCTTTTTAGTTCATCTCGATGCCTAGATTTTTTGAATGATATTTGTTTGCCTAGATATATATACTCCTGAATATATTCTATTGGAGCATTGTCAACTATTATTGGAATCGTTTTACCATTTGTCATAATTTTTGTCATTCATTTCAATACTATAAATTTATATTCATCAATTAAAAAAAAATATATATATATATCGATACGAGTATGTAGTATATATATATATATATATATAGAGATATATATATACAAGAAAAGTATATTATTATTATGAAAATTATTACTCAGAATTGTCATCATGATTTGGAAATCAGCTAAATTTTCAAGTTATACTCAAACACTAAATCCCCCTGTTAGTCCATTGAAAAGTTATATTTGGGGTCGTATTTGTCAGAGCACGCAATTTTGAAAATGACAATGACAGCACTAAATAATGACTGCACGGATGGCGTAATGGTTTAAGCGTTCGCCACGCCGCGCCGCTTCCTACAAGTGTTGTGGGTTCAAACCCCACATGGGACGACACTTTGTGTGATCCACGTGTCCACATGTTCTTTGTGTCCGTTTCATGTATGTTTGTTAAGTCCCTAGACACAGGATATAATCCGAATGCGGGAGTGTATAGTTATGAATATTGGAGAATGGTATTCTTTTAGCAGCGCTATAAAACCTTAATTAATGAATTAAATTTTAAAATTAAATTTTTATTGGAAAATTATTTCTTAAAAACCCCCTCTATAAAAAAAGTAACTCCTCTATAACGATTAATAGATATTTTTTCTCAATCTAAATTCGATTTTCGCTTAAATAACTTTGTTATTTTTGTAGTACGACTAAAAGTTACTTGACCAAAGTTGTAGAAAATGATTGAATTTTTTTGTGAGACCTATAGTTTGTCAGATAAACTATACAAACCATTTGTACCCTTGTTCCAAGATGGCGGCTGTGGGGCAAGGGTTGCAACCCCACAAAAATGGATTTAACTTTACACTAACCACTCCTTGATTTCTAAATAATAAAAGCGTGGGGTGCTTTTTACCATTGACAACAGGCACCCAACGCTTTTTTTTCAAATTGATTAAAATTTATTTTCAATTTTTTGGTTTGGTTTTCTATAAAAAGCGTATTTTTTAAACCATTTTTTTTATATTATTTATTTTTATTTTTTATTTTAAATTAGTGTATTGTCATCGGACCTCGATAGATCTACAAGGTTTGAACAAATTGTGACCGTTTAAAGTTTAAAATAAAGTTGGGTTCCTGTTGTCAATAGTAAAAAGCACACCTCGCTTTTTTTCAAATTTATTAAAAAATATTTTCTATTTTTTAATTTGGTTTTCTATAAAAAGCGTGTTTTGAAGTGAAGCTAATATAAAGCGTGTAATAAAAAAGCGTCCTCTAATAAATGCACACTAAGCCCAAAAAAATTAAACATTTAAATGGACTATGTAGGTACATTACTTTTGTTTCCAAAGCTTCTTTATATTTTACACATTACTGATAATGTATGTATGTAATATAGGACAGGTATTCTGTGCAAATCCTAATCAATGTTATAAATTGTATAGACCTAAAATGTAATGTACGATTAATATATTGTTCTACTATATTATAATACAATGTAGTGAAATAAATAAATATTTAAAAAAATATATAAAAAAATATCTGTTGAATTTAGAAAAAAAACTAAAAATATACATTACCAATTACTATTTTATGTTTATCTTGGCCTTATAAATATAATGGTAATAAGGATATTAATAAGGCTATAATAATAATACGAACATATATAAATCTAGTCAAAGTTCTGCCGCAAACAGTGTGTTCCTGAGACAGGCCTGTACCATAGTGTATTATAGTTTAAAAGTAAGTGAATATAGTGTACCTTTCATTGATGTAGAATCAAGAAATTTGGTGAGAAGCATAAGTAAAGCAAAAAAATAATATATATATAATATTTGTCGGTATGTTCCATCACAAGTTGTCAGCGCCTACCTTAAAACCACCTTTAGAATTTATATTTTAGTGTCACTACGTTTTTTTCTTACGGGGTAAGATGAGACTGACATGCACAATCATATTGAGACCCTAATAATCAATAAAGAGTAAAAAATGAAAAAAAAACTGAAAGAATAAATTGTTGTTTTTATTTTTATGTCAACACAAAAATATACAAATCGTTATGATCGTAGAATAACGTCGTTTTTGAAAAGATATGAAATTCAGTTTTTACCATATTTGGATACTACATTAGTATAAATATTATTACTACATTCAAGAAAACAAATATTTTTTTACATTTTAAATTAGTCAGTGTTTGTTTGATAGGAGCTCAAAGTAAAATGAAGCATGTACTCGTAATTTTTCTAGAAAATTAAATAATATTATTATAATATTAGTGGTTATTTTTATTGCATTTTAAAACATACTGTTTTTACTTGTATGCCAATTTTCATAATTACAGATTTAGAATTAAAAATTTATGTCAAAAAAATAACATAATTATTTTAAATGGCTACCTGTAAAGTTCACAAAAAGTCAGATCCGACATTATTCTACGACTATGACGAAATTACAACTTTTGGGGGAGTATTTTTAGAATTGTCAAGTTTTTTTCCAATTATGTACAGATTGGTCAGATATTTCATATCAACAGCCTTTATAGTCCACTGCGGACATGAGCCTCTCCTCGGAAAGGAGGTTT